GTACATAAATTTTCTCACCGTATATATACCGTTTTCATAAAAGATAATGAAAAATATTCTTTCTAAGTGTCTATGATAGTAAAATTTGGTTTTTCTAATTTTTGTTTGTGTCGTATTAAAGTTGTAAAAATAGAGAGCTCCGACCGTATCAGTACCGTTTCTGTAATAATAGAAAAATAAATACCGTTTCCGATTGTTTTCATCCTAAGAGAGAGAAGAAAATAAAGCACTGAAAGTAACACTACTGCAAAAGAAAAGTTTCAACAACACACTACTTTGAAAAAGCATAGAAGAATGAACCTTACGCCACAAATGTACATTTTGATCCGTGGTTGTTTTGTTTGCACTAGTCTTTTTACTTAGACAAAAAAAAAAGACCCTATTGTTTTGTTTCTTTGTTACGATTGGATGGAAAGACAAATACACACACCTCTCCACACATAGGACACACATAGGGTGTGTTTAATTTCATGTCAAAATTGAAAGTTTGATTGAAATTGAAACGATATAACAGAAAAGTTAGAAATTTGTATGCAGGAAAGTTTCGATGTGATGAAAAAGTTGAAAGTTTGAAGAAAAAGTTGGGAACTAAACCATGCCATACTCCCTTAGAAAATCTCTACCCTTAGAAAATCCCACAATTGAATGTTCACGCATTTATTATTTACTCGTTTCGAGCGATTAAGACATTCAAACGTTCAGATTTCAGGCCACATCTGGGAGCTGGGAGGGACAACACCGTGACGGCCGGTGTGTGTGGGCGGCGGCGAGCAGAGCAGGCAGCATCTGATGTGCCGCGACCCGCACATTTAACTCAGAGACCGCGAACGAACGGCGCGAAGCCTCCGCGCCACGCCACGCCGCGCCGCGCACGACGTCGCAGCCGCCCGCCCCACCCCGTCCACGTGATTTGTCCCCGAGCGACGCGCGACGCGACGCGACGCGCGCACATGCGCCCCCGCGCGCGCGCGCGCTGGCGGCTTCTACTACCTCTACCTCCTCCTGCGCGCGGCAATCAAGCAAAGCACAAACAAAGCTAGGCAGATAGCTAAAAGCTCGGGCGCCTAGCTCCAACTCAACTCAATCTCCTCTTCTTTTTCATGGCTATCCCCTTGCCGCTCGGCCGGAAAACCGCACGCTGCTTGCTTGCTTTCGTAAGCAAGAATATGGCCCCGTTTGGACCTGCCGATGACACAAAGATTTAGTACGTACACACAAAATAGGAAAAGCTATTAGCCACCTCTGTATCAAAAGTTTTAATTACTTCAAACCTAAAAATGAATTTATCTGATATTTTAAAACATCTTCTGTATCAGCAGTTTTCGAACGAAATATACCATTCAACGGTTGTTTGGAAAACGTGTAAACAGAAACCGAGGTGAAATCTGTAAATTAATAAAAAAAGAATGGGGCCTATGTATCCATAAATATGGATTGAGACGGTGTTTTGATTTTGATCAAAGTCAAACTGTTTTAAGTTTGACTAAATTTATAGATAAAAATATTAATATTTATAATACTAAATTAGTGTCATCTATCTATCTATTATATACTAAAAGTCTATTAAACTTCCTATAAACGCTCTCAAGCCACCACATGACACTTCTGCAAACGCTCATATACCGCCACGTGGCAATACCTAATCTCACCGTCAATTTTCACTTAAATCGGTGGACCTGATAATTTAGACCATTAGATTAGATTAGATGTATTTTATTTAAGAGGAAACTAATACCTTCCTGTTCACCGGAAAAAGAAAAAAAAACACACAAGTACTCCGTAGGTATGTACGTACGTGAGACTTAAAAAACAATGAATCTTATTACCGTTTATCTTATTGTTCACCGGAAAAAGAAAACAAAAACACAAGTATGTTCATTCGTAAGACTAAAAAACAATGAATCTTACCTACTGTTTATCGAAAGAAAAAAATTACGCACAGACTTAGTACTATAAAAAACAATAAAGCGAACAAAACATACGTAGGACCATTAAAAAATTGATTATCCTTTCTACTATTTAAAGATAAAATCTATTCCTCAATATAAATTTAAGTAAATGTCACCATCGATTTTCATTTAAATTGGTGAATCTAATATTTTAGACCATTATATTAGATGTATTTTATTTTAAAAACTAATACCCCATGTAGGTATACGGGAGACCTATATAACTGTTAAGCTAAAAAATACATAAGTAGTCCGTACGTACATACGACTTGAAAAAAAGAAATGAAGCTTACCTACTGTCCATCGGAACAAAGAAAAATCTATGCACGGTGGTCTATTGAAATACTATTTTCAAAATCCTTACTATAAAAACAATAAAACAAAAAAATGTGTATCATTCGGAAAGGATCGATGGTCTTATGAATAGTATTATCTACTATTTAAAGATAAATATATTACTCTACAAATTTGCATAAATATACGTAGTTAAACTAAATTTATATTATAAATATGAAATATCCCATCAATGATTTTTATTCGTTCTATCTTAACATACGAGGCTGATATATATAATATTTAATGCTATGATAATTTTTTATTTTACATCATATTCTAGAGTGTCTCGACGAATACACAACGCTAATTTAAATCTACATTTGCATAAATGAAAACAACACAATTTAGTTGTTTCATTTTACACCATTAGATTAGATTTATTGTTTAAAAAATAATACATTTCTCCTATATACGGATACATGAGAAATATGTAACTGTTGACCAGAAAAAGTACTCCGTATATAGATATGATTGAAAAGAACAATATTGCTTACATATCATTTGCTGGAAGAACAGAAAATATACTTATGATAAAGCCAAAAAATGGCAGTCCTTAAAAAAGAATTTTCTACAATTTAAGGATAAAATATTATAATCTTCAAATTTACGCAAATGTAAATATGAAATACCCAATCAATGCTTTTAAGCGTTTTATCTTTTAAATTATTTTAAAATTATATATCCAATTTGTGATCCGGTTGTATTCCTTTAAATAAATAAACTACTAAATATCTATAGCCCAAAATACATCACAAATATGGAGCCGACATGTAATAATTAATGTTATGATAATAATTTCACATCATATTTTAGGTGTAAAGAACACTTGAGGAATACACAACGCTGATTTAAATGTACATATGTATTCTCCAAATTACCAATGGCGTCTCATATGATTAGAAACAATAGGTGTTGAAAACAATCTGGACACTGAACTAACATGCACTACACTATAGATATTATAGATATTTGCCAAAATATGATACGTTACTTTGGAGATTAATGTGGTGTTATTTTAAAAAAAATCACTTTGTCCCGGTTACATATAAATTTTTCTATTGTTTTGGGATAAAATTCAACTCCTTCGATTTATGTGACAGAGGGAATATAAGTAATATAAGTCATCTTTAATTAGATGAAGTAGTATCACTAGCTATATTTTTAATAGACAATATATTTCAGTAATATATAATAAAATTAAAATGCTACTTAAAGTAGTCTATGGCGTATAAAATAAAAAATGTTATATAAAGTTTGGAAACTCCAAAAATTTTTAAAAAAGAATCACACATAATACAAATAGATATGAACTAACTTCGTTATGGTGACATATTTTTTTCTAATAAATTTGAAGATATACAATTTCAAGTAATACGCCGAAACCAGTTATTAACGAGCATACGTTTAAAATAGAGTCAAAAAATATTTCAAAAATATCATCCACACATAAACATTTGTAATAAAAGTTCAAACAAGATTAAACAACATGCCCGCGCGTATGCGCGGGCTACCTTCCTAGTTAAATTAATAATTGAATATATTTTCATAATAAATTTGTCTTGGGTTAAAAATGTTATTACTTTTTTCTATAAACTTGGTCAAACTTAAATCAGTTTGACCAAAGTCAAAACGTCTTATAACCTGAAACGGAGGGAGTACTTAAGATGATAGATTATCATGGACATGATTTTCAATCTTTCAAATGATGTGATTTCTACATAATCTTATTTTATCAACATTTTCTGGAAATAACTTTTGTTAACATTTTTGTTCAATTTTCAAATGGTCAATTTATTCGTTTATGCCCATTAACAACTGCCATAAATTCAATTTTAGCTATCATCAATCAACACATCGAAACCGGCCATGAGTAGGATTTTTTTTTTTTGGTTTGGTTTGACCAAGGCTGTGTTTATTTCACCTAAAATTGGAAGTTTGGTTGAAATTGGAACGATGTGATGGAAAAGTTGGAAGATTGTGTGTAGGAAAGTTTTGATGTGATGGAAAAGTTGGAAGTTTGAAAAAAAAACTTTGGAAAACAGGGCGCAAAACAAAAGCCCTCATCGGTGACAACAGGGAAGATGTACCGCTAGGAAGAGAAACGAGTCATGGAGGATGGATCCGGTTGGGGATCGATCGGTTTTCTTCTGCACGATTCATCGCATTCGATGCCAAAAGGCGACAATGATGCTGGCTAGCTTGCAGTGGAAGAAGTCATTAGGCCTTTCGCCAAAAGTGCTTTTGCGGCCTCTGCCAGCCAGCTTGTTGGTTTTCTGCAACTACAGCACTCTGGTCCTCTCCTCTAACCACATATGGGTTTGCTTATTGCTTTTGCTCGTCAATTTGTGGCAAAAAAGAAAATTGTGCAATACATAATTGCATATGATCTTTAGTTGAGGTAATTGCAATCAAACTACCAAAGCATGTGTGTGTGCTTTGTCACTAAGCTCATGAGAGGAAAGTGTCAAGTGTAATCAATAAAGCGGGTAACCTGAGTTTCCATGTTTATTATTTTCCTATCTCTCCGGCCCTCACCGTCCTACCTATGTTCAGTTATAAACAAGCCAAATATGTGATGCGTGTAGTGCCTTTCGAGCTGATCGGTGATGATTTCTTCTCTTTTGGAGTTTGGATGCTACTCCCACTCAAACGTAAGGTATAAAACATGATCATGATCATCACAAGCAATTCTGTTTTTTTTCCCTTTTCTGACAATAAACTACTCCAATCTGCCAAGCTTTACACCAAACAGTTCATCCATCCACCATTAATTTATGACCAAGTAGTAGGCAGTATTACATGGCACCAAAACCGCCCAATTTTTTAAAAAACAAAATAAAACAAAAAAGAAATTTAAAAATCTAATCGATTTACTTATGCCAATATACACCAACAACAAATGGAATGCACGTTAGCTCTCTCTCTCTCTCTCTCTCTCTCTCTCTCTCTCTCTCTCTCTCTCTCTCTCTCTCTCTCTCTCTCAGTCCAACCCAACTCGACTCAAGGCAAGTCCATACGCCATATCCTTCTTCTTCATCTCTGGTGATCCAAAAATTGAAAAAAAAACATGGAGGTCATCATCACCTGTAATCTAATAGACCATGTCGTCGCGGACAACGCTGGCGAGGGGAGGGTGGGCGTAGGGGCCCCTGATCCAGGTGTTGGCGATGAAGCGGTAGGGCGCCTCGGTGAGGTGGATGCCGTCCCAGCTGACGTGAGCGTCGGGATCCTCGCACGTCGTCGCGCCGGGGAGCCCGCACGACGCGCTCATGTTGTAGTTGTACGGCCCACCGCCGCCGCAGCACGCCCTCAGCGCGCCCCTCTTGTATCCTGCATCAAAGATCATCAAACACATTTCTCATGTCAACTCTCAATCGGTTCTTGAATGAATCCACAGGTCGAGTGAGATTAACAGCTTGTAAGATGCAATGCAGACTCTGTTCTGCAACTCTGATGCTCTGATGTATCCTGCTACTGCTGAGATTCTTTGTTCAGACTTCATACACCTGGCGATGATCAGACACACCAACCTAGTGATTGCTTCCAATGAGGGATTTGATTGATTATTGTGCAGAGTTAATCAGATGTTGGGAGGAATAATTGTGGGAGATGAGAGAAGATGTTTGTCCCCAGTAATGGTGCCGGATCAAGCCAAAACAAGGTGACCTGGCCATGGACGGTCACTGCAGCAGATACGCCAACAGCTGTGCCACTGCGCGTACGTGTTGGTAGGTGAACTCACAGACACCGTTGCTCTGGCCGCTGACACCGGCGTATCTACTCTGCTCTGCCTCTAACTCGCCGACGACAATGATGAGTTCAGGACCATCTCCCCTCCCAAGGGTTGATACCTTAAGACAGCAAAATGACACCGTACTGTTATAGCGAAGTAACTCTAGAAAATCCTCGCCGTCGGTACGTCAAGAAGATTACGGGGGCTGTTTGGTTGGCTGCCATGGTTGAACAGAAAAACAATAGAAATGGAATGTTGTGGCGCACGCACGGAGCAACGAGCACCACCAAACCAACCCGACACGGTCTGTGTGGGAGTGTGGGTGAGATGATGGGTACGGTTTTGTGAGATGTAACCGTCAGGTTAGTGTCAGTGGCTGGCCGCCCTGCACACACAGTACCCCCAACCATCATCCAGTGCTAGCTCTTGCTGTATTGCAATGCTGCCTGGCATGGTCCCCCGGCCCCATACTGACCAACCCTCAAACTACCATTTCTGTCTTGAACATCGCATTGCAGAGGAAAGCAGAGTTGCACGGCAAAAGAAAAAAAAAAGAACGTAGATATGTCCAGATACATAGCCAGAAGTTAAGATAGACTTACCGTAGAGGTGAGGGGTGCGGGCAAACTGGATGTAGGGGGTGTAGTAGTCGGCATAGACGATGCGGGAGTCGGGGTGGCGGCGCTGGAGCTGGTCGAGGGCGATGCGGAGCATGGCGTTGTGGTAGAGCGCGACGCTGTTGTACTTCTTGAGGCAGCCGGTGCGGGGGTCGTACTCGCTGCGGTCCTCGGTGGCGTACATGGTGAGCGTGATCGGGATGCAGCCGGCGGGGAGGTTCCCCGGCACGACGACGTGGCGCGCGCCCTCGTCGAGCAGCCGCTCGATGCCCCCCGCCATGGAGGCCACCACGCTGGGCACCATCGTCTTCACCTTCTCCAGGCTCCACTCCGCCTTCCACGCGAAGCTGTAGTCGTTGCCTCCGAACTCGCCGAACACGAACAGCGCCTTGGAGAAGAACTCCCTGCACTCTGTATTTATTTACATGTTCTTGAATTCAATTAGATCGACGGCGGCGATGGCAATGGCGATGCGGAGAATTGGAGATGGACGGACCTTGAGGGGAGGAGCAGATGGTTTGCTTGACCTCGTCGAACCACTGGAGCTGGACGTTCATGGAGGTGTTGAAAGGAGGGATGCTCCAGACATTGTTGTCCTTGAAGTATTTGAGGTCGAGGGCGGTGGCGCCCATGACGGCGAAGTTGGCGCCCTGGCTGAAGTTGGTGCCCTTGTTCGCCGACGGCGGCAGCAGCGGCAGCCCGAACGCCTCAGCTGCAAATCCAACCGAATCAAACCACTCGCATTCGATCGAGGAGATGATGATGATGATGATGATCATGGCCGGTAAACCGGCGACGTACCGAGGAAGTCGATGACGAGGCGGCCGTTGGAGCAGCGGGCGTACGGCGGAGGGAACTTGGGCATGTTGGGGAGCTTGCCGGAGTTGATGATGACGAAGTTGCCCGTGTCGGAGAAGGAGTCGCCGAAGCTGAATATCGCGTTGTAGTACGACGGCAGCGGATCCGCCATGGCCACCGTCGCCGCCGCCGCCAGCCACACCAACCCCAGCACCGCCACCCTCCTCATCTCCATGGTCGCTCACAAAGTTGGCAACCACAAACCACAAGTGTGAAACAAAGAGGAGGAAGAAGAAGAAGAAGCAAATGAGGAGGGGACAACTAAAAGCAGTGCTGCTTAGGGGATTGTTATATAGTAGGGCACATGGTTTACTACTTACAAGGTGGTACTAATTATGTCCACTAATGAACCCCTTAATAAACAATTCCTCTCTCTCTCTCTCTCTAACATATTTCTCTCTCTATTTGTTTGTGGATGGGCTATGGGCTATGGAGGAGTATGGTATGGTATGGGAGGGTACATGGAGAATGGAGGTGTGGGAGGTTTGTTGTTAAGGTGGCTTTGATGGGAAGCATAGCAAAAGACATGGCACACATGCCTTGCTTGCTTAGTGGTTTTTTTTTTCTTTTTTTTTTTTGGGTTCACCTGGACCTGGGGACAGCTATGACTGACAGGTGGTGTATTATCTTGCTAACAATAACAACAATAATAATCTACTAGCCGTTGAGGGGACAAGCAAAACTATATCATGACTGTTGGAAGAAAAACATATATATGTACATTTATGGATAAATTATATTTTTTTCCAATGTTTGGTTTTCTCTCTATGTTTTTTCAGTTTGTGCAGGGGCAGCATGGTGGAGTCAAAGGGAAGGAGGAACCATGTGTGTGGTAGTAATAGTATTAGAACAGGGAGAGAAGCATCTTAGAACCAAAAAAATAAAAAATAAAAAAAAGAGTGCAGGAGAGGGGCAGCACTAACACTAACATGTGCCCCAGATAGGCGCTGCTGAGGGAAATTATTGAGATTTTGGCCATCTTCCATCTCATCTTATCTTGTTCATCCCCCTCCCTATCCCCATCCTACACGATCCGATTCATGCCCACAACTAACGTATCTCCGATCGTGTAATCGAGTACTAACTACTGCCATGCGAACTGACGCCTTCCTATACCTACCTCTGCACATCCACAAATTCAGTCTCTCTGAAGTTCCTAAATTATTTCTTCAAATGAACTACATCACACTACTGGAAAACTATCTTTGTTCGGTCAACCCAAAACCACAATAGTTCTGGTACTTAAAAAGAACCGGGACTAAAAATGATCATGTGAACAATTTTATGTCTCTGAATATTGTTTCTCTGAAGACTACACGTCTCTTTAATTACTGTTGTTAATTGTTAGTTAATTATTGATTTGTTGGCTGAACAAAAGGTGATGGTGTAGTGGATAGGGCCAGGGAGCGTGCTCTGCATCTCTGGGTTGGAGATTCCGGTTGGTAGAAGCAGACAAAGCAGCTGCAAATGCACTGCAGTGCCCACCAAGAGATAACAACTTTTTATTTTTTGTTTTGCGACAGGGTTAACACTATTTTTTAACTCCCTCAACGGCTCAATAACTGCAACTTGTGATGGGTGATTTGGATTTGGTTGATGTGATAATCTGTCCAGTTAATCTGATCGTTGTTCTGTTGTTATGTAGTACCAGCAGTCATTTAATTAGTGCTTTTGTATGTATTGGATTAGAGAGGGATGGTGATGGTGTACCACTACCACTAAAAAAGGAGGGTAGTGATAAAATGATGGAAAAGAAATGCATATTAGTACATCACATAAAGGAAGCAATGGTAATGATGATTAGTGACCCCATTATATACTACCTCCATATTTTAATGTATGATACTGTTGATTTTTTTGTCAAACGTTTGACCCTTCGTCTTATTCAAAAAATTTATGTAATTAACATTTATTTTATTGTGACTTGATTCATCATCAAATATTCTTTAAGCATGACATAAATATTTTCATATTTGCACAAAAATTTTGAATAAAATGAATGGTCAAACGTTGATCGAAAAGTCAAAGGCGTCATAAATTAAAATACGGAGGGAGTATTTGTGGTACAAGTAATTATCAAAACCAGAAAATTGGTGCGTTAGCAGATCTCTAGGATGTACTCGTATGACCTAGAGCGAAAAAAAAATAAATCCACTACAAAAGCTGACAAATAGGGCCATAAAGCCACTAATTTAGTGATAACTTTTCAGCTTGCACGACCGTTACGGCAGCCATTTTGTGTGATATTATCTGCTGCGTGCCTCCACGAATATAAGCAATTCATGACATAAATATGATGCTCAATATACTACTTTGATATATAATATCTTAAAGATAAATTATTTTAAATAGAAAGAGATGTATGTTATTATGATGATTTGTTTCACGTAACATCGTTTTATACTGTCAATCTTTATTTTTTTTGTTATTATTTTTTATTATAAATGGTTAAAGTTAAAAAGATTTGATCAACCTCCGTTCAGAATTATGCTTCATTGTTATGGACAAAGAGAGTAGGACACCGTTAAAATTGCAAGAAATATATATATCCAATGAAATTATGAAATTGCACACCACCTTAATTAGATTCCATCTAATTACACTATGTTCTTCAAACGCTTCTTTATAATAATTGGCTGTAGCTCTTTTAAGTAAAGGCCGGGATATGTATTCCATTATCTAAAAAAAATATTTTTTTTCAAACGCGCAAAAGAATTGCACGTTAGTATATTAAAAGAAAAGAGAGTTAAAAGAGAGTTTTAGTTGCACAACGCAACATAGCAGACCTGCCATTGCCGTTCCATCTAATATATCAGCAGCAGCAAAAATGCAGAACTGAAAATTAATCACAAAAAACCCGGTCTAATTAATGAGTCAAACGGGTGAATTAGGCTGACACAGTGACACGTACTCGACGGGAAGCGACTAATCCCCAGAAAATATATAATTCACTGTTGACAGTACCTCACCGACATAATTAGCCGTCCCCGTTTGTTTTACTACTGTTCTCCAGACGCCTCAAAAACAATTCTTAACAGTTTTCCAAGAGCAATCGCATGGACTTTCCTCAGAATCCCCATCTGATTTCGAGCCCCAAAGCCCTTGATTTCCACGGCCACATTGATCGTTTCCCGCATTCCGTGGTGCAATTAAGTTACTAATCTCTGCATCGATCAGACAAAATCGCGAGCTATAGTTTAATTAGATTAAGTCTTCTAGTGCTATGTTTAGATTAATTAAAAATGGTGACAGATTGCTCCTGCTAGGGTAGCAGGGGTATTATTTTTAAGAATCAGTAGTTCTTTAATTTGGATAATTCCAAGCAAATTCGGCGTCACATTTTAGTTTTTCGAGTAAAAAGGAAACTATTTTGGTCAGTGTGTTTTAGTGGTAGAGAAAGATGAAAAAAAAAAAGCTCAACTATGGTAACTTGCTCTTGCTCCTATTCTTAATTTTCGCTTATTCATACAACATATTTCAGGCATCGCTTGGAGTCAAAATGAACATGATTGTTTACTGCTCTCACTGGATGCAGGCTTCAGTTTTTTTTTTTAACTGTAGGATGTATGGATCAGAGTTTCTGGATGTATCAATATTTTACCAGGGACGGCATAGTGAGATTGTTGCCCTGCACGAGGTGCATCATCTGAACGAGAAACGACATTGTGTATGATAGTATGTCTACCTTGTTGACTTACCTAGAACCGATCAATCGAGATGTTCAACTTCATTGCATCTGAATCTGGTTTTTGATCCGATCTTGATATATCATATTGGTTGAGTGTTACTCATCATACCACAGTTCTCCTTAATCATTCTCATTGTCGCTGGTTAGCTACTCTCCTCTTCTATCATATAACAAGATTTGGTTAAATTTTTAAAATTTTGACCATATAAAATTTTTCGAATGCTAAGTTTAAAAGAAAATAGCATGCATACGGTCACCTTGAAAAATACCACTGGAAGATGATAAAATTATTATAATAAAAAATCGACGTTTAAAGTTCAAAACTTTAACTGAATCTTCTCATGCATAAGGTATTAAATATTTATGACCAGTGGAACGAAAAATACTCCGTTGAGATGTACTCCCTCCTTCAAAAAATATGAGACATATTTCATTTTTGGTTTCTCCAAAAATCCGAGTCCTATTTGTAGTCACTATGTGCTAAATTAAATTGTTGATCGGAAACCAAGAAGCTATTCTAGTACTTATTGATTACATGTTCATTGGTTTTGCCACATGGTGAGTGAGTTAATTGCTTCTTGGTTTTGATGAAAAAGAAATAGGTCTCAGATTTTCACAAGGAGGGAGTACTACATATTAATACTCAAAAGTTCATAAACCCAAAGAGCATTGCTAGTCATTAGTTACTTTTGGTTCTATTATTTTCACATATTCAAACAACATATTTCAGTAATCATTATTTGCAATTAAACTGAATATGGCTGTTTATGTTTCACTTATGCTTCAGATTCTTTCACTCCATTAATGTTATGAATTGAACAAGCATGGTTGTTTACTTTTCATTTAACGATGCTTTAACTAGAAGGAGAACCTTTTCATTAGTGTTATGGATTAGAGCATCTGGATGTGTGAATATTTTACCAGCAATATAATGACATTTGTGAGGTTTGTTGACCTGCACAAGGTTAAGTTAGATTATTTATGTTGTATCTGTATCTTGTTGACTTACCAGGGCTGAGATGTAGTACAACCTCTTCATTGCATCTGAATCTGATGTCAATCTATATCATGTTGGTCAATGGCTGAGTATCATTTCATCCTATTGTTTCTTACCCTTTACTTTCTCGTTGTCACCATGTGCAAACCAAGTTTATCCAATCAACTACTGTTCCAGTTCTAACAGTTCCAAGTAACATGTCTCGAGTATGTGATCCCTAAGAATTTCACAGCTAATCAAACTTTAAATACACCCACTACATGTCAATACTCCTACATTTCGAATGAAGCTTCATATTTCTCGCATAGAACTTGTTACATGTTTCGAGTCTGTCATTCGTTAGAATTTCACACCAAATCAAACTTTAAATACACCCACCATATGTTAATACTTCTACATTTTAAATAGAGCTTCACATTTCTTGTATGGCATGGTCGATTAGTTCGGTTTATACCAATAGACTGAAGTAGAAAGAAAAATAAAGCCACAGGTTTGTGCGTGCGCTGGACCAGCAGGAAAACGACACTGTAAGGAGCAACAAACATGCGTGTTAGGTAGGTGTTGAGTCACTGCTCTGCAGTGCCTTGATCTGTTACAACATCAAACAAGCCATACATTTTGTGCATCCCAATTGGTGAGAATTCTGAAGCTGCTACCATTTTCAGATTTGTTTTTCTTCTTTACATCCTATACTAGCTACAATCTCTAAGATGCATTGTCCCATATGCTGTGCACTGAACTGCATGTGCCGTAGGT